CGTGAAATCGTCATCTGCCCAGGGAAACACAAAGTCATCTGTGTCCTAAGATCCCACAAACATGCTGACCCACGCGATCTCACACACACACACACACACACTTTTATATATCCAATCGGAAATGCCTTAACATTTGACAAACTTTGACCTGTTCCAAAGCACTCGTCTTTGAAGTGGGACACGCAAATATCTATATTGTGCCTCAGGGATGAAGTTGCAGCAATGGAAGCTGTTGTTGATGGGACAGGTCAAGTGAGGGGACAGAGGATGGGAACTGCTGAATGAGCTCTGATTGTCTTCAATAGGTCTCAATGTGATCTATTGAAGCATACAATACTTTCTGCACTATACACTGTACCTTTACAAACACACACAGACCCAGAGGGAGGGAAACTCTGCTGTCGGTACAGCACTGGTGGGCAGCCCTTGTGACTTTCACATCTGTCATGCTCCTTTTCACAGCCTTCATTTCATCTTCTGACCTCAGGGACAGGAGCATGTGATGATGCCTTGTACTTATATGTATCCATATGTGTATGTATAAATACATACATACACAGATAATGTAGAGTCATGAATAGATTCAATTCAAAAGAAAAATGTTAGACATTTACCGAGCGCTCACATGGTGTCAGAACTGTGTGAAAAGCGAACTACTGTCAGTTTAACCGCTGCACTGCCAATGACATGGAACGTTATTATGAAGTGAGTTTAGTCAAAGGACTAACAAACACCTGTGTGTCAAGGGCAGGGGGATAACGTGTGTAATGGTGTTTTAAAATGTTAGCATTTCACACTGTTTAAATAGAATAGAATAGACTCAGTGTTTAGTTAAAAGTGTCACTCTCAGTGCAAATTAGAATTTAAGTAGTAATTTAGCAAGACATTAAAACAAAATTAGAGAAAATTAGAGGGAAAAAATTACCTTTTTGGGCTTTTTATAGGTGACACAGTGTGACAGATCCTGGCCCCAAACTCTCCATCCAGTTTAGTCAAAGATGTTAATAACTGAAAAAAACAACAACAACAACAGAGGCTTAAATAACTATCAGTAATCCCATCATTTATGAGTCTGTAATTACATATAGTTGGTGACTCTGACTTAATCAATAAACGTAATTTATGCCAGTTTAACATTTATATTTATATATATACATACAGTACATATATATACACTTGTTCTTTTCCACAATCATTTTTAATTTTCTTTGATGATGATGTCACGACACTAATAACTCTTAGCCCTCAGCACAGTGAGCATTTCTATTTATTCCCCTCATAGAGGCTAATTCAGTTTGTCACACTGATCACTGTAGTGACAAATTAAAGCTTTCCATCCTTCACTTCTTTCCCTCTCCTAACAACACAGGCTCCACTTTTCATGAATTCTTCTGATGTTAATGTTCACAGAGGAAACATAAGGATTTCTGGAATGTCACTCCAGATGTGGAGACTGACATTAACAGCTGTCTAACAACTGGGACAAGAAAAGGTTAAAAAATGTTGGGTTGGAAATGCCTTTTCACTCAAACGTGGTACATCTCTCCCAGGTGACTGCTTAGCACTGGCAGTAATTGAAAACTTGCCCCTGGCACTGTGCAATATGTGTGAGGCTGTGTTTGTATGAATGAGCATGCAGGCTGCACATGGGTGTGTGTGTGTGTGTGTGCGCGCGCATTTACAGTTGAGGACAGAATTATTACCCCCTTTAAGAAAATGTAATTGTTTATAAATCAGAGGTCTTCAACAGTAGGTCTTGAAACCACTAGGGGGTCTACAGTGGTGTATATTTTGCTTGATTACACCAGGTTTTATATTTTGCACTTACAAAAACATTAAATTGTCGACCCATGTAACACAGTATTTGAATAGCTTTGTGTATTGAATGCTAAATTATCTATCTATCTATTTATCCATTCTCCATCATCCAGGTTACTGTGGGGACAGTGTTCTTTGTGTTAAAAGCCTCTCCCGGTCTTTCCTGAACATAAGCAGCTGGTCTTTGGCCCAAAGTTTCAGACCAAATGACTACAGGTCAGCAGACTAGTGTTTCTATTTCTATGTTTTCTTTTCTTCCTTTGAGCAATGTCTTTTCTGACACTTCAACGACCCAAGACTGTTTTAAGTCAATCATTTACTGTCATTCACTGTGTATCTGTCTCGTCCACCTCATAACGAGTTCCTAACGAAAAGTTAGTTCTGATTACTGTTGAGGATCTTACCCTCTGCTGCAAAGACAAAGTTAAATTAATAACATTTTTAAAACCACCTGCCCCTCCCCCCACTTTGCGGTCCCACAACGAGGGGCCATATCTCTTCAGCATTTCCAGCCCTGTGAGCTAATTTGACAGCTCACGGGGGTGACGCTGATTCCCCTTCACAGAGACAGGTACCCTAGGGCTAGCCAGCTGGATCGCAGTGGACGCTTACAGATTTGGCTTTAGCTTCATGCTGGGTGTCATCTGTCTCTTTGGTCTGGCGCGGTATAATTTTTGTGTATTCGCGCACGTGCGCGTGTGTTTGCGCATGTGTGTGTCTGCGCTGACATCATGTGCCTGAGTAGTTTGTGCCTGGCAGGCCTTGTCTGTCCAGGTTGGCCATCAAACACAGCCAGCATGGCCCTAATCTGACAAGGCACTGCTCCAAACATGCCACAACAGCCCGAGAAGTGTGTATATGTGTGTGTGTGTGTGTGTGAGAGAGAGAGAGAGAGAGAGAAAAAGCACAGAGCACAGAGCACACCCCCTTGTCATTTCGTCTCTTCTGTTCCCACACCCAGTAGCACCCGGAACGTACCGTCCCAGATGCAAAGTAGAACAGCATGAAAAACCAAACCAAGCTGATTGGATGATGGTTTTTTTGTACATACATACAGGTCCATGTACAGTAATATTGCAGGTCAACATCTGTGCATTATAGTACAGTACAGGAATAATAGTACAGTTCTACTACAAACGCATATTGTTGACAACACAGACTTCTTACACACAATCTGTTTATTTTATGTCTCCTAAAACATTCTAGTTAATACATGATTTTCTCACATTATTGTTTTAGCACAAACTACGTCTTCACATCATAACATCATAACACGAAGAAAAAAAACCTCCACACGCTGTTGTTTATCTGCATCTTTTTATGTTTAGTTTCCTAATTTATTGCTTTCAGCTTTGCCTCTGCTGCACAGTGGTGTGATGCATGACCTTAAAATTTCCTGTCCATCCAGGAGGCCTTGGAGTTCAGCAAAAAAAAAAATCCTTTCGTGATTTTTTCCACTTCATTCCTATGCCCATCAATACACCTACCTGTTCAAAAACACAGCAGTGCGATGAGTGGAGTTCAGGCTGCTGTGAACACAAAGCAACAGCCCTGCAGCCTCCACCAGGACCTGCAATGTCAGGACCCTGCCAGGAGAAAGAAACAGAGAGAGAGTCAGACAGAAAGACAGAGAGAGAGAGAGAGCAGAAAAATGAAGAATAATTACATCCACTGGGTAATGGGAGCACTATGGTTACAGGGCAGAGACAGAGACACAGGAGTGTCACCAGGATGAGCTGCAGGGCCACTGGGCATATTTAGTAAACCACACTCACAGACCTCCCACTGCACTGTGAAGCAACATTTGATGAAATGCTGCAGGTCATCATCTGGATACAGGCAATCATGTACACAGGGGGAGCAAAACACTGCTGTTTTTGGCCGGCACACTGTGTACAGTGTACAGTATATAGTACTCTTCTTTGGCCCAGTAATGCATACATGTGTGTTTTACATGACAAGGGAAAACATGTGTATTTAATATGATTCAAAGGGTCACATTAAAAAATGTTGAAATTGTAAATAAAGTTAGGGATTAAGTGGAGAGATTAAAGAAACAACTGTAAACAACCGTTGCTTTTGTCTTTAATCTCAACATCTTTACTTCTTCAGACATTTGTTTCTTCTGTTTGTCTTTATATCCTAGCGCATATGCTCATAATAATTACAAATATATGAAATTCATCATCGAGCACTGCTTCATGCCGGGCCTATTGCGTAGGCCATGATTTTTTCATTTTGCATAAAGACAATACCATTTTTTAAATTCTGGTTTAAAAATTCTTTGTTTTAAACATTCAAAGAAGCAAAAAAAAAAGAGTTTGAGATCAGTTAAGAGAGTAAAAGGCTGTAGAATAATAATTACTGTGTTTAAATTTTCTCTATTGTATACTCTATTGTAGTGAAGCAATTTAAAGGAAATATGATTTAAATGCAATATGTATCAAGTGTATTTAATTTGTCTTTCCCATTACAAAATTAATTTAAAATACACAGAAAAGAAAAAACCACAAAGGCAACTGTCAAAGTAGAGTGTGTAGAGAAAGTACTCAACTTGAAGGATATTTTATAAATGATATTTCACACGTTTTTAACCACAGACTTATTTTTATAATTAAACATTTCATCAAGTCATTAGTACAAGCAAATGTTACAAGTGCTTGCTTTAATTATATTTAATTATCATTAAAGGGTAAAGGGTGACATTAAACTATGAATAGAGTGTAAACAAGAAAAAACATATCACACAGTGTTTCAATATACACTATTTCAAAATAACAGACGTTTTTATTCTAGTAGTTAGCCATGCCTGTTTTTATAGCTGACGTAAATTCTGATGCATTTAATATTTTATTAACAAATAAACATTCACTGACCTATAAATTACGGTTTATTACTACCTAAGAAAGAACTGTTTATTATGAGCATTCGTCTGGAGGTCGCCGCTTCTTCTTCTAATAGAGTATGACTGACATCTACTGTTCTTGATTTTTTATTACAACATTTCTGCCTACTCATAGTTGGGAGACAGGAGAAACGGTAGGAAATGTGTGAATTGCATTTACTCATAAATATATAATAGCGATAAGCTTTAAAAGATTTAGAATTATTTTGTAGTTGTTTATTTTTGTTTGGTCCAATCCAAATGTTACTCCCCTCTTTTAGAGACTTGGTACAGTCCGGGGTGCCCTAACCGGAAGTACTTGTAATTGTTTTGCATTTCAGTCAGCTGACTTCCCAACACATGACCACAATAATACATAGTTTTACATTGTTTTCGACTTTGTATTACTTTATATCTTGTAAGGTTTGTGTAATTGAGTAGCTACTTTCCTTTGATATGTTGCTACTTTGTTTTTAATTTGAGTGTAGCGTTATTTTGTGCAGAACCTTTAGCTAATACGCAGTTAGCTTGTTAAAATAGCTGCTGTGCTGGAAAGAAAGTTTGATTTATAGCTAAAACCAATGGAAAAAATCGTTAAAGGTAAGTACAGTCAACAAGTAATAGGGTTTTCGTCTTCGATCGGTGCGAGGCTGCACCGGTATATCCAATCTAAGTTCTATAATGAATATATAAATTAATATAATAAATGTAAGGCAGTTTAACACCAAAGAGTTTCATCTGAGCTACAAAATGTCTTTAAAGTCTTTAAAAATTTGCATATCGACACTGTAACGTATTTTTTAAACAAGGGCATGCCCATCTTCAAATCAATTGTATCTCATTGATTAATGTTGTGATATATCAAGTTGATGTGTTGGTTGTGCAGATGTGGGTGACATCCAGTCCCGGTTGCTACACCACAGACCCATCATCAATGCAGAGATCCGCTATTTCGTCAGAGAGTTCGAGGTATTCCTTATTAAAAAAAATAATATACATACAGTAATCTTTTGCAGAATTTTAACTGCTTTCAGCACTTCTCCAAACCACCAGCTAGACTTACTGATAACACATTGCAAGCTTATAATATATTTAAAATAATTAAGATCTAACCACAATGTGTTCCCCCATATCACATACAATAGACATTGTTTTGTTTTGTGTTTCTCCTGCTGTTAAGGAGAAACGTGGATACAGAGAGAACCGACTCCTGGAGAATCTCAGTAAGATGGTGACTGAAGCAAATGATCAACTAGTGGCATTAGATACAGACAGTGTGAACCAGGGTATGATCACTGACCTTATCAGAAGATGTAAGTTACCGTTCTGACATCCACATGTGTGTAAAACATTTGTATTATTGTGTAATGTATTTTGAATATTGATTCTGTATTAATATTTTTATCTTTCGGGTTAAATTGACATGTCCACAACCTTCATGGAATTTCTGGAGAATGTCCACTTTTATCTCTTAATATATTTGGTTTGAATTAATACTGTTCTGTTGTTTTGTAGATTTTAAATATGATTAAATACAAAAGACCAAATGTGACTAAACAATGCTGTTTGTTTGATTTTTATCATTACTTGTGAATCCTGTGGTAAAGGAAACTTTTTAAGGTGCAATTTTTTTTGCTTATTTTACAGTAGAAGCTGCTAATCACATGGCACAAAGAGTCCAGCAGAGGGAGATAGAGGTCCAGCAGGTAAACCAAGTCAAACTCCCAACAAAAATGTTACGGAATATCAATCATATGAAACTTGTTCTTAAATATAACACTTTAAGTGTTCATTCAACGTCATGTAGGTCTGAAGACAAGTGTCCACTGTAACCACCATCTCATCCTCAGCACTGTCAGTGTAACGTGTTAGTAAAAGAATAGTTGAGTTTTCTTTAGTGCTTCTCTTGTATTTATCTAGGGCACCCAGCTGCAGGCTAACATCGAGCATTTAAAGGACGACTGGTCGGACTTTCTGAAGGAGCAGCAGAGACTGAAGGAGGAGGTGGATGAACAGCACGTCAAGGCTGTGGGCCAACTCAGCACGCACTACAGTGAAATGAAGATGAACTTAACTAGGTTTGCACCCATGTGATTAAGACCTCCTGAATTGTCATCGGTCCACAAACACTTGTTTTATGTACTCGCATTTTTATGTATGAGCATCTGTTCTGCATGTGCACAATAAATACCTTGGCTATGACTGATACACCGGGTTGATGAGAGCACATTCTCGCTGCACATGTTGGAATTTTACACAAGACGTGTGTGAGTATCACAGGCTGTCTTACTCAGTCTGCTGTCTCTATTAAGCTGATGGAACTGGTATGGCACATAAATTGGTTGAAGATGTCTGTAGTATGTCTTATTTTAAACAAGCAGTCAATGACAGGCGTGACATTTTCAGCGTTTTAGGATTTCAGTGCATGCCTGCCTGAGGGGAGCAGATGATAAATGTGCATCAAACTCCCAGGGCTGAAAGAAACTGTAGTGCTGTGGAAATGAACTCAAACAACACTTCAGAGCACATCATCCTTCAGCGGCTCTACTGTGTTTAGAACATTTAACTGCTGACATTAGCGTCATGTCACTGTTTATGAAGCTTGGAACGGCAGCAGCTGTTTTCTGTTTGCCTTGCCACCTCAGAACTGAACTTAATGAGTCACGTATCCAATAATTGAGTCATTGGCCAAACTGGAAACGAACAGACATAAATCTTGTTCTGGTTTAAATTTCATACTTTCACTGATTTTCATGCTTCATGTTTAGACTGTTGAATGAATGGCAATCAAGAGTGGGCTTTCTGTGATGTCACATATACATATTTATATTGAGGTTTATTACCTAGACTCGGATTCCTTTGAACTGTATAAATAAACTAAAAGTTCAAAAATGTAATAATCTGCTTGTGTCTTGACCCTTTGGCTCTGACTCTCAGCACTTTAAATCATGTCTTCTTGTTTCTTGTTTTGTTTTGTTTTTTTTGCTCCAAACAATGGTGGGATGTTGGACAGGTTAATGGATGGGTGAGCATGCCGAGCACATTCCTGGCATGGCTGAGAATGCACTTTATCTCAGACAACTTAGGAGAGCAAACATTGTACAAATCCCCCCCTTACCCACCACCTCCCGTCACTCTACCTACCACACACTGCTTTTTCACACTTAAACTATGTAGCCTCTCATTGGCATCTGAGGCCGGATGCTGAGATTTCACCACAACCATCAGCTTAAGCACAATATTTTGCTAAAAGCAAAAAGGTGGAACTAAACAGTCCTAGGGAGTGGGCATGTAGTGCTGTATCATTCATGTTTTCCTATGCTGTGGCACCAGCACAGTCACCACTAGGGCTCTGGCAGCCACTGTGTGGCCTTTATGCCAGAGGAAAACACTGCGGATGAGAGTGGGCACAAATATGCCATCAGATATTTAAAGGGCAAAATGTCCAATCTGCCCGGTACACATCTGTTTCTGTGCATGTTTTACCTCCTCTGCCTCAGAGCCTGGCTGCAGCTGTCCATCACCAAGACCGTCCCTCACCGGCTAATGAGGAGTGACAAGATGGAAACGAGGCAGACCTGTGCCAGAGAGGCACCTTTTCATCTGCCCTTGTTTATTTTTGAGTACATGAAAGGTCACTGGAGTGTTAGTTATTCATGAGTGGAGAGCCATGAGCTCAAGTGTTTGTTAAAGTTAACATGAAAGTTGTCATTTCTGCATTAAATCACATTTAAAAATGTGATTTTTTTTCATGTTGGTTTGTGTTGTACCAGTGTATGTGAGGAGACGCCCCACAGACTGAAGGGAACTTTGGAACAAGGGCTAATTTGATCTGCCCGCTGACAGCTGACATTTCCTGATTGTATCTCAACTAAACAAAGGATAATAAATCAGTCTGATGCTGAGACTCTAAAGTAAAGAGAAACTGCCAAAGTTAGGGTAATGATTTGCAAATACACTGAGGTAGTTTCTGTCAACGTAACATCATTATGGCAGATTAGGAATTTATTTGTGGCAAAATTAAAAAAAATACAGAAATGATTAAAGTTTCTCAAGCATTAAGTGAGTTACTGCCATCGATCTGTTCCTGTGCAGTGGAAAAGTCAAACTAATGAATAGATTTTAGATGCACACCTTTATTAGAATTTGGTTCAAACTCTTTTCAGTGTTTTTGGCTGAGAAAAGAAAACAGGTCCCATACTAAGACTAGACTTTTTTTTATATTTTTTTTTATTATAACCAGAGAGCAGGGTGGTATTTAATCACCCCCACTTCTTCAGCCTCTGCGATCTCAGCACTCTTTTGTGCAACATGACAGGTCCCTGCTACTCAAATACTGATGGGTGCAAAATGAAATACCTATGAACAAAAGCTCAGCGCATGGAAGTCATTACCCAGGCTTAACCAAACCTCAGGGGAGTCGGCCTGGTCATGGATGCTGGTTGTTAACAGGAAATATGAATTCTTTGGGAGAGGCAAACATTCACCTAGTTAATGTCTAATTTGGAATAAAGCGGCAGCTCCAAAAGCGGTATAGAGCCAGTAGAAGTTGGAAGTGGGACACATGCTGCATCATCACCCCACAGTGTGGCAGCTTTGGAAAATGAGCCTAAATGAGGTGTCAAAGAGAAGCACTACAGAGAAGACTTTAAATTAATTTTCCACTTCAGATATAAGTACCTTCTTAACAGCATTTGTTTTTGTAAGCGACAAGTGTTAAAATTCTAAATGGTACATCAGTCTGTGGTGGTTTCCATCTTCCTACTTTGATAAACTGATACAACTACACAATGCACTCATCAGGTCCAAAACCCACAGTGTCCAGAAGTCCAGCTATGACAAGTATTTCCTCAGTTCGTCATGAAACAACATTAGCTACATACCACAGAATGACTCGGCCAGAGTTTACATAGCAACATTGGAGAATCCTACTTGACCTAATGATTGACCTCAGAGCAGAGGCTTCACAGACACACTCACTTAAATGTGTTTGTGTTTTGTGACTGGCACTTAATGATACAATAATGATGGCATAAAAATCCAGGGTTTAACCATTGAAAACCCCCTCAAATAAAGTTAAAAATAAGTCCCGTGGCTCTTATTACAACAATAAAGGACCATTAAGAACATCACTGGTTCCATTGGGTTGGGTTTTGTGAAGGAACTCCATTTTTCTAAAAGTATACACAATTAACTGGGTTCAAGGTCCATCCCAGCCCGTCGCATTGACTGCTGCTGGAACTGGTACATAAATGCACAGGAGGGGACACATTCAATAAAAGCACCTCTTCTTCAGGGCCTCAGGACAACCTAGGGTTTTACTTTTTATTGTTTTCCTCCCACGTCTCTCTGAAATCAAGTGGGCTGCTGCATTTACTGCTACTGCTGGGTTTCAAAGCTAATGCTTTTACCTTACGGCCGACACAGGAAGACTCAGAGGGAGTAAGAAGTCCAGAGCTCAGTGTATGACTCACCCCCCTGATGTCCGTATTAAGCGAAGGGTGCCGTGACATCTTGTAGGCACTTAGTAGTTGCAGTTGCAAAGCCATTTTCCTCATTGAAGTCATTCTGATTCGGATTCAAGTGTTTACAGGACATGTTAATCATCGTGTCTGGTGTTTACACAAGCTGGTTTTGAACAGGAACAGCTGTGTGTCATGGCCTGAAATGATGAATACGTCATGTATTGGTCTTTCACAACAGCTAGCTTGTCTAATCTCTTTGGTCTGAGCTCCATAGAGACCAATGTTTTATCTGTTTACCACAGTAGTTACTGTCAACCAAAGTTGGCTACACTGAATAACAGCAAATCCTCACACGTGCGGGAAGCACAAGGAGAAAATAGTCAGAAAAAAAAACCTTATCCAAAGGTTAATCCCAAATATTAGATCTTTACTAGGATTATTTACACTGAAAGATAATTTATTTTTGAAGAAAATCTCTACATTTTAGATCCATAGATATGAAAAGGAGGTAATTATTGGTATGTGCGTCTTAAAATAATACTCTACATCTAAAACTTGAGGTTATCTTTTGTTATAGTTGCTTATTTTTCATATACAAGCTGTCATTGAACGATGAACTCAAAGGAAGAATTGGTGATTGGGTGGACATGGAAGTCACATGACTGGGGCTTCTGCAACATTAAAAAGAGCAAGTAGACCTACTGTATGTGTCTTTTAGAATCTTAGTTTCAGTTCTTTCCATGTGTTTCCTGCTGTTTCCTAGATAGTTGAAGCAGTAGAATGTACACACCGTTAATAAGAGCCAACAGAAACAACCAGCAACCAAAGATTGAAGGAAAAAAAAGACAGGACGACTAAGACTCCAAATCAGATACAGGCGCTGAGCTGCCTTTCCAGGTCGGTCCTCCCAGCACCTGCTGCTGCTGCTGCCATGCAGCCAATCCAAACACATTATTCCAAAAGACGCTCAGCTTAATGGCTTCTGTGGAGAGAGCTTCACTGAGTCCCTGACTGCCTTTGCAGACACTACAGAAGTGTAGGCTGCCCACTCACTCACTGTCACTCTCTCTTACACACACACACAGGCTTCTTGAAACTTGTTTATACTTAGTGCTTTCACAGAATGGCACGTATAGGAGAGCAGACAAACACACACATACACACATTCGCCAGGACACATACTTTCCAGTGTGCGATTCATCTGATCATTTCATTACACACCTGCCTCAGTACAGACAAATGAGACAAACTCAGACACCTGTCAGAGACATAAACTTCAGAGGCATGCATACAATAGGACCCATGTTTACGATAAATCACCGGGTTCACACGCTGCGCCGTCACTTGCCCACATTAACACCAGACTCTGTCAAAGGGACTCTGGGTTATGGTTGGGCCTGTAGTTAGTTGAGAACGAATCATTCTTAGAAAAACAGCAAACATCTGTTTTGTGACTTGGCCACCTCTCACTGGTAATGTCAGCCTGACCTCAATGAGGCTGGGCCTCTTTTATATTTTCCATGAGAGCCAGCGCGAGTGCTGGTAAGTGGGTGACAGCATCCGTCTTACTTCTTTAAAAAAGAAGAAAACATAAACAGAAGTTGACACAAAGTTTCTCAGAAAAAGTAAAAGCAACAATGATTATTGCTTTGACTTATGGCTCGGCTCATACGAAATACAGTATTGTTAAATTATCACGTGTCTGCACGTGTGAGATTAATTCTCTCAGGATCATGGATAGAGACGTTCAGCAAGTTGTTGAAGGACACACAGGCAGAGAGGATGCAGAGAAACAAACCTAAACCTTATACTGCTTGGAATTAAAACATATCTGACAACGTGATGATGCTCATTCTCCATCTTAATCCTCCCCACTGCCATATTCATCTTCTTCTCCTCTGTCTGAACCACCTCAGCCACTCACACTCTGGCCAGTACAACCTAATGGTAAAACCAGCAGGAAGTGGGACTTTTACAGTGATGGCACTGGACCAAGAAGCATCTGTAAAAGGCAGCCTCTAAGTTGAGTTGGGTCCTGTCACCACCTGTGAAGTCTGATGTGTTTGAATGTTAGGACCAGTCCAGTGCTGTGCTGTGCTGTGCTGCTTCCTGGCAGTGACAATAGAAGAAATGACATGCGAACCTACTAACAGGACTTATAGTATACATAAGTATTACTGCACTAACAGTAGAATTTAAACAAAATTCAACATCAGTACCAAAGAGGAGAATGGTAGCAGACTCAAGAACTGATTATTTAAACCCAATGATATAGTAGCAGTGATGTCACAACAGTGCATAGACCTGGATTGGCAAATAAATCAACAATGTCGTGGTGCAGTATCTTACCTTTGGCTTCTGATGCCATGTTCATGTTCCCAGAATTTACAGTCTTGGCTATTGTTCACACTGCAGACAAACGAAAGGATCAAATGAATTTTTGTGACCAATTTTTGTGAATGTGACCAATATTTAATTTGGTTTATGATATGATATATGACATATGTTAAAGTGGGTCAGAGGTTGCAGTTCTGTGCCAGTGCAGCGTGGCTGCATGCATACAATAATTGATAATAATTAGTGTGACTTTATCAATGGGTGAGTCCTTATATTTTATACCTGATGTTAGCCGGCACTGGCTCCAGCTCACCTGTAGCCATTCACCAGGCTTAGTAGTAAAAGATGAATGATTCTGGATGAGTAATTTTTTGAGGGGGGTGGGAGGTCAAAGCAAAACAGGTTGGCTTGACATTAGTTGAAGTTCATATGGAAAACTAGACTTAAGCACAGACAGATTAAGAACGAAAGCCCAGTGGATTTAAAGTAGACCAACTGGACACCAGGCAAATGGGAACAAGATGAAACCGCACAGAATGAAAACGAGTTTCAGGACGATCTCCTCTCTGATTAATATTGACCGTTTTCTTCTCCGGGGAAAGTTAACTGTTACAGCTGTGCTGCACCTCCATTTGTTTCCCCCATTTCTCCCTGTGTGTGTTTAAGATTCCATGTGTTTCTAGCATTTCCCCCTCCGTTTCCATGGCCTTATTGGTCTCTGTGGCCTTATAGACCAAAATTAGCAAAGGCAGATTATTTAAAAAAAAATCCTAGATACAATTATGATTAAAAATAAAACAAATTTTAAATTAATTGAGAGAAACCTGATCATTTAAAATTATATGCAGCTGTGTAAAACTGGATAAAGGAACAATTGGCAATTAAGAAAAACTTGGTAAAGATTTCAATTATTTAAGAAAAGTATTTTAAGTGTTCACTGCTCCTTTAACTTAGTTAATTTTAGTTTAATTTTAACATGTCATTTGGAAAGGTAACTTTTGAAAGTGGAAAAAAAGCTAGACACTTGGCAGTCTAAAGGCACGACTGTTAAAGCACCACCCTCCTGCTCGTTACCTGTTATATTTTGTTATTTAAATGAAATACACAATCTCTTGAAAATGTCACATACTTGACTTCAATGCAAGAGAGTATTCAGGATATAAATGATTGTGTTACAGTTGGTCAAGCTAGGAAGAAGGTTGGACCCAAATTGCAGCACTAGGTAGACTCTCTTCAGGTGCAGCAGGTTTATTCAAAGTGCAACAACAAAAACTCACAGGACTAAAGCATCGAACTCAGGCATGCGCTGCTTCTTCAACATCATGGACTTTTCCACACTCGAGGACACAAATGACAAACTAACAGGAACACCCAGTACACACACAGACAGATACAATAACCCCACAAAGTGGGAGAGAGGTATATATAAGGTGCCAGATGACACGGGTGAGACTAATTACAGAGACACAGGTGAGTTTAATCACAATGATTAACCCCACACAGCAGACAGCAGGAACAGGGAACAGACAGACCTCACAGTATGATTACAGAGTTAAAAGACTTACAATAAAACTACGGCATAATAATGGTCACCGTAGAAGTTGAAGTTTTATGTTGTTCCTCAAATATATATTAAATATATGTATATCTCTTAGAACCAGGCCACAAACAGCCAAAGGCCCTACATTGGGACACATTTCATCCAAAGTTTCAGTGAACTCCACAGCTTTAGTCACTGTGCTCAATCTGCATGAAAATGTTAGGTTATTAATACACGTGAAGAACAGCTTTATTTTACTACTGCACTTCAGAGCTGCTGTTAAAATGACACGTTTGCCAAATAGCATGACATGCTAATAACAACATGATTTAATATAGCAAACGTTCAACTTGCGCCGTGACTCACAACTTCCAATGTTAAAGAGAGAACAGTCAGTGGAGTCAGCAGCGCTTCACTGCAAATGTCAGTGACAGGATGAAATACCTCAAACAGCTCTGTGACACACTGAAGCACAAGGGACCATCTAAGAAGTCCTTTATTTACATATAAATCGTATTTAATTGGCTGACAGAATTCGAGAAAGGTTGACATACAAAACCCCCTTTTTAAGGACGGTTGACCACTCCTTGGTGCTTTTAATAAAATATGAATATATATTAAAGTCTAATCTGTAATATGGTTATTTACAAGTATTATTTTGAATGGTTCCTTAAGCAGCAGGTGAACTGGTGACAGATCCTCAGGTCAAAGACTAATTTGTATTTTGCGGAGGCCTAGGTTTCATATTGAGTAAATGTCAATTGTGAGTAAATTAAAAATAGTTCATAACATGTACTTTTTCTTGTGGTTTGTTATGAGATTTTTGTAAAGAAAAATATGTGCTACAGCTCAGAGAAGGTTGGGAAACACTGGGGTAAAATGACCACTAGCATCTGTGATAGTATGGCGTGCTCAGTCAGTCTTAGTCATAGGGGATCTGCAGGTATGTAGAGATCCTAAGACGCAAAAACATATTAGAATTTCAAAGCAACATATGTGCCTATTAAGACTAAGTTCTTTCCCGGAACTCTGTTTTGAAGTTTTTTTTCCTAATCCATGGGTTCCTGAAATCTGTTTACAGCCTCTGTGCGGAGTTTCTGCTGTGGGGAAGTAGCTGAGTCTTTGGGTATATGCACTTGTGGAAATGTGGTCATTTTTTTAATAATGCGATACATCAGGGGAACTGGCACAACTATAGTCATGTGGCTCAATTCAAGAGGAAGTGGTAGAACATAACAAAGAGGATACGGAGTAGTCCAGGTAACCCTCAGCCAACAAAACCACCTCATGTCCAGTAAGTCCTTCATCTCCTTTATCCTCTCTTCAATAGCCCCATTTACTGTTATTATTTTACACTCTTTTCTTCTTCTTATTTCAGGCCCTTTAAGCCCCTCGGATGAAAAGACACTTTCCACTTCCCGTATTTTTACTAGATTTACTATTTTCCTTGTTTTAAAAAAAAACATGTGGGAGAGTCCTCTCCCTGCTGTCTTTTCCCAGCACAGGTGCCTGTTGAAGTGGCTCCAGAGCGCTGTCTGCAAATAACATTGTTCCTTCTCTATTGGTCACATCCTGTGTTCAGGATATGATACTCGTGGCCCTGACTTGTCACCGTATCCCCAATGGAAACAAGTCTGCTTTTGGAGTGAACAGCAGCAGTTGATGTGCTTGCGACCTCATCAACTGCATTCATCACTACATTCAACCCTGAACACAACTTAGACACTGGGAAAACAAAAAGCAAATGGTACAGGACTGTTCCCTACTCTGGCCACGTGTTAATAGATAAATGTCAATTAAATTTTTCTGTTTTGTGTCATTTTCACTGCACCATTGAACTTCTGCCTACAGTATTAAGAAAACACACACCGTGAAATGTCCTCAGTTCCCCAGACACCCTTCATCTTTCTTCCTTATTTCCTATTACCCTATAATATAGCAGACCTGCTAAAGTGCTGTCAGGAAATAATAATGATTGGCTCACTGCATACAACTTTCATTATAACTCATAAGAAATAACCAACCAAATAGATTTAATTCATTGAAAAATGATTTAATATCTGCTTTTTGAACCATATCGTTGAAATCTTACTGTTGGAACTGCATCTACTGTAGAGCAATTTTGTGTTGACTTTTTGTCCTATTTTTCTTCTTTTTAACAGGGGAAGCTATTAAACAGAAAGCCAAGCTTCCTTTCTCTCCAAATATATTAAAAGTAATGTCAGAAAAATATTCCATGCTGTTTAAGGTTCCTGATCCAGACGGTTGCCACGGGGTGTCAGCCAATGTGAGTTGACATTGACAGATTTGCCATACTTTTCTTGGCTGATTGATACGTAGCCCTTCTAATGCTCTTTAATACGGAAATAAAAGACCACAGAATATTCTAATGTCCAATCACGAACGAGAATTTGAGGTTATCACTTGCTTTTTGTCTGTTTTGCTCTCTGTAATTAGACTTTAGGCCCAAAGATTGACTAATACACCAAGGTCTTCAAAGAGAATGTACATCTAGGTTTTTACAGCTACAGGTTAAAGATCGTCAGCCATGGGGTCATCGTAGCGTCATCTATCTCCACGATGGCATCTCTTACAAGTATATTACTCTGCCACCGGAGGCCACTAGCTCACTCCACGGGGACAATAAGGTGCATGTGTATTTGGAACAGTGGAATTTTAATGGTTGTCTAGGGAACAGCAGGATTTCCCCGAACACTTTCTGCTTCAAAAGCACCGACAGACACATAACAATCTACGCACAGAGTACATAAACGCCTTCATCTATTGCACATGTACATGTAACTTCAGTCACTGGTGGTGCATGGTTAAACCATTTTCACCCACTTTTAGACTATAGACATTCATTTTTTTGCAGGGTCTCTGACATTCTGCTCTGTGTGACACCTCCATTTCCATGCAGTAACCTTTTCTATTCATCATCCCACTCTTCCTTTTGTTCAAATGAAAGGAGAGGTGGGATGATTAAAGGGAAAAACTGCACATATTTGGTTTCATGAAATCATGACTAAATCAAAAGAAGAAAAGGAAAGAGAAGGATTTGCCAAAGAGTCGTTAATAAAGTACGCAAGCAGGTATTAAAACTCTGGAAAAAGACACACCAACACATGGTGAAAATAGATACTTGGTTTTATTTTCAATGAACCATTATTGATCCCTAGTTAAGGGGTGATTTATTTTCACATAGAAAGCATATAGAACTAAATGTACTGAAGGTGCTCATGGGAACGGTACATCCATAGACCATGCATAAAAAGTGGTTCTAAAATATATTATCTAAAATAAAAACATATTTAATAAACAAATATGTATACACATATTTGTTAATTAAACAAAAAAACATTGATCATTTATGTTTTATACTCTATATCCCCCGACTATTTATATTTAAGTTAAAATAATATACCACAAATCTGCAAAAAATCTTCACTGCAGTTTCGCGAGGCAACTACGTACGTCTACGCGACTGCGTCCCATCCACAGTATTTATTCCTCTACGCGAAGTGTGAAGGGGGCGTGGACGTGGAAAGTCGGTCTTTTTACAGTACACCAGCAGGGACACTGCTCTGCTCATCTGCCGACAGAAATTCGACATGGCTCTTGCACTGACTTGCACACCGTCTGTGTTGTCTTGTTTTTATATTTTTTCATTGCTTTTGTCCAATGTGCTTTGCGACGCTGATGCAGAAGAAGATGAACATGCCAAGCACACTTACACGGTAGAGATGTTCAACGAGGCGGTGCCCACTGCCCCTCACTTTGTCATGTTTTTCGCCCCATGGTAAGTGAACAGTGACCGCAAACTGTAATAACAGTACAATTACAGTAATAACAGTACTATGTCGTCGCTATGTTTCGTTACTTTGTTTGGAAATAGTAACCCCCTCCTTAAAGTTGCAGCTCTCTGGTTAGCAGAGAAGCTAGGTGGCTGCACAAACGCATTCACCTTAAATGGTTAGCTTAGCCGCTAACAAGCCTAACCTTTCTCTTTGCTTCTAAACTTCTACATATATGTACTTTGAAGTACTTTTCACGGGTTGGGCTTCGATGCATAGACTGACCCTTCTGCTCATTTGACATTGTAAACTTAAACGTGTAATTTCGTGGTCAACGTCACCACTGTTCATTCAACCAGAGCTGAAGTCGTTCAGCACCAATTTAAAGCTGTGCTCAGGGAAGCTGTGCTTACGTGGCACGCACTGATTGAGCAGCGTTATGTCATTGGCTGCAATAGCAGAGTACGAGGTCTTTCCTGGACCTCTGAGATGACCACAATTGCTGTAGTTTGATAAAACCCATTATACTATAGTATATAGCATATTATAGTAGAAACTGGGATCACACAGAGATATGACAGGAGAATGTGGTAAAGCAACATTTGAGATGCCAGGACTGGAGGCTACAAGGAAGCAGGAGTAATGATCTGTTGGTAAAATGCCAACTGTCATTTCGATATGATGGATCAGAAAATCAACTACTGGGACAAAATGTTATATTGTAGCGCTTGGGCTGACAGTTGAGGTTATTATTATTTAATTAAACCAATTGTAATTGTATCAGTAAGGTAACGAGGCATTTAGTCTTCAAAAGAAAAACTTTGAAAATATTAGTTGGTGCAACAAAATATGCAAATGCTTTGTGGTTAAAAAGAGTTTTGACTGTTGTACTCTCTTGTGACAGTATTTGTTTTTTTCTCTTTCCTTTTTAAGGTGCGGACATTGCCAGAGATTACAGCCGGCATGGAATGAACTAGCAGACAAATATAACAGCATGGAGGAGCCTCAGGTGTATGTGGTGAAGGTGGATTGTGTCCAGGACACTAAGTTCTGCTCTAATGTGCACGGCATTAGAGGTTACCCAACGTAAGTCGCCTACACTGAGTTGTTAAGTCATGAATGTGAGTCCATTAAGTGTGTTTTAGGTTAACAATGACAAGAATATGAGATTAAGGACAGAATTTAGCTCTTACAAAATACAAACATTAATTTTATTTCTCAACTTATGTGACACTTTGACCTGGAGTTGGATTAAATATTCTCCAAGTGACCTGTTTACCTCTGCTAAGTGATTCCTGTACCTACAAAATCAGCAATCATGAGGAAATAATTAACAAAACTCATGTGTCTTTCACATACCCACTTAAATAGACTTATGCATGGCTCAACCATTTCAGCAAGTTACTAATAGACGAGTCTGCTATTAATTATAATAACAGTACAGTGTGTATTTTCCTCACTTCTTTTTTGTCTGTTCGATTAAGGCTGAAGTTGTTCAAGCCAGACCAGGAGGCCATAAAGTACCAAGGGCCCAGAGATCTGAAATCCCTGGAGACATGGATGTTGAAGTCACTGCAGGAGGAGCCTTCAGTGAGTTTGGTTCATCCAGTGAATCCTCCTATATTTATAATCTTGTGCTCTTTAGTTGTTGCCAAGTAGAAAACGAGAGACACAAACAAGCGACTGATGACACACTTGCAATAATTTTTGTGTTTACATGTTTGTGATCTTTCTCCAGGAACCAGAAAGTGACCCAGAGCCTCCTAAAGCCCCAGAGCCTAAGCAGGGACTGTATGAGCTCTCAGCTCACAACTTCAAGAGCCACATAGCCACAGGTGATATGCCCTGGTTCATACTAAATATACTTTTGGTAACAGCTCAAAAAGAATAGAAAGGAGTAACTTTTGAGTTTAAACAGTTATGCTGTTGTGTCAAAACACACTTGCTCTTTTTGTTTGTCTTTGTCATCGGTACGATGAGTCATTCTCTTTAACACTTATTCAGTTTATTTGCCCATGGGTCGGTTGTTGGTTTTGTGGGTTTTAGAGTGGAAACTACTAATGGCTATGATTCACATGACTGACAGTTCAACCAAAAAAAGCTTGAATCATAATCCACAGTGTGTGCACAGACACTGTTGTACTGTGCTTCATTCATGTTGTTGACTGGACTTTTAGATTCTGACTTAAAACACTTACAACACTCACGATTGTCTAATGAAATGGTTGGGTATAAAAATCTGCGTTTTCTCACTCGCTGGACTTTTCTGTTCTCGTTTCAGGTTCTCATTTTGTGAAGTTCTTTGCCCCGTGGTGCGGCCACTGCAAAGCCATGGCTCCCACCTGGGAACAGCTAGCCACCACCTTTGAGCACTCTGACGATGTGAAGATAGGAAAAGTAGGTCCTTCACTTCTTCTAATGACACAGATGTAATAAAGTTAAAAATAAATGATGGTGTAACATAGCATTATATAAAATAACTAAGATAAGATATAAATACCACTGTGATCCTCTAATCTAGATTTTAGTTATCTAGATGTTACACAACATTCAAATGGTCTAAGAAAAACCTTCCTATGCATCCGTATCTGCATGTGTGTATTTATCACAATGTGTTTTCTGCAGGTGGACTGCACTCAGCATTATGAAGTGTGTTCTGAAAATGGAGTACGAGGATATCCCACTCTGTTCTTCTTTCACAACGGACAGAAGGTAAGGTTTCATAATGTTAGTTTTTATCACACACTTAATCATAAAAAAATCATAATTAATCAAAACAACCGTGATGTTTCCACATCTGTAAGTGTGTAAGAGTTTTGTCAACTGTGACTTTTTCCTTCTAGACAGAACAGTACAAGGGGAAGAGAGACTTGGACTCGTTCAAAGACTTTGTAGACAACCAGCTGAAGGCTATTGAGGAGCAAGAGAAGGAACCAAGTGAGGAACAAATAGAGAATGAGATCCCGACTCCTGAGCCAGAAAAAGAGGAGGTGAGTGTTGCAGCAGTATGGTACACTTTATAACGCTTTAAAACTCCACTAACCATTGTTTAAAACTCTTTAAAACTTACTAATCATTGTGAAGTGCTGGGATGAAAAGGTCATAATGAAGCACTAGTCTGACCCCGTGTATTTGCTGCACTAAACAATGTTAATGAGAAAGTCAGTCGTAAACCTTATTATAGAAGGTGCCAATTACGTCTTTGAATCCTGCTATTGAAGCCAGTGGAGATCCTTTGCTATCAAACTCTACAAATCTCTACTCCTTCTCCTGCCCACAGTCCAAAGTGTTGCACCTGACTGAGGAAAACTTTGAGGAGTCTGTGGCCAAGGGCATCACCTTCATTAAATTCTTTGCTCCATGGTAAGAAAAAAAAATACACACTGTGTTCTATTTTACCTGAAGTTAAGAAAAGCTGCACTTTAGGCCAAACGTCAAAAATCATTCTTTTACCTGAAGTTAAGAAAAGCTGCACGTCAAAAATCATTAAATCTTCACATAGATAAATACAAAACATTAAATGCGTCAACTTTCTCCTGTCCAGGTGCGGCCACTGTAAGAACCTCGCTCCAACATGGGAGGATCTTTCCAAGAAGGACTTTCCTGGCTTCACCAACGTCAAAATAGCCAAAGTGGACTGCACTGTTGAGCGTTCACTGTGCAATAAGTATTCAGTAAGTGTACGGAAGTAGCCCAAGTACTGGGTAATGCTCCAAATAATTACTAATATATATTTATATACATATAAATAGTAATACCAATATAACTTGGAACATCCCCCCTCCCCCCTGCAGGTCAGAGGTTACCCCACATTGATCATCTTCAGGGCAGGGGAACAAGGTGATGAATACAATGGTGGGCGAAACCTGGAGAGTCTGCACGCCTTCGTGATGAAGCAGGCCAGAGACGAGCTGTAGAAATGATAAACCTCGCGCCCACACTGCATATCTGACCAGTAGGACATCACTCTCTCTCTTTTTTCCCCAGTTTCCATTTTGTCTTTCTCCCTGAGGTTGTCCTTCGTAAAGGATTTGGTGACGAGACTTTTTTTTTTTTTGAAGGACAAAAAGGGGTCAGTTGTGTCTTTGGGATGTGAATGTATTAATCATTGCTGTTAACCCAGCTTGTGTCCCCTCATGTGGGGAATAAGACTGTGTTGGGTGGGTGGTTAAATGGGTTACACTGTGTGTCTGGGAAATCCACTTTTCAAGCACTGCTCAAATAATCAAATCCAGGAGGTTTATCAATCCTATCTGAAGGACAGATGTTTCAGGTTTCACATGGATTATTTCTGATCTATCTTCTACGGCCTTTTGACTTTAACGAATTACAAAATTTTATATGTGGAATCTGTTGTTTATTCATGAGCCATTAACTTTGAGGTACTGTCCGTCAAGGGATTTTAACGTTTCTGTCACCGAATGTTGTTTTCGAGTTAAGTTGAGGGAAATCCTTATTCATACCAGTTATGACTGGGCTGACTTAACTCTCAGGGAAATAAGCCTGCAGGATGGAGAGAGCCACGATGGAGATGGCAGCATCGCTGAAGGAGTCTGAAACAGAACATGGACATGTGTTTATTTTTCTCTTTAATAAAAACAGGAGACATTTCAGAATATTTGTGAATGATTCTCAGAATCTGAAGGCAAGTACGGATTGTTCGTTGATTTCTAGCTGCTCGGACTCCTCGGCCGTTCACTCTTTGCTCTTTCTGACACTCCGTATCTCAGGCCTGGACCATGTCTCTCCAAATCTTTGTTACTTAACAAATTGAGAATTATTGCTGCTTGTTTTGTTCTGCACATTTTTACAGTCACTGTAACCTGTGTGAAATCCTTAAATCTTTTTTCCCCTGCGTCTTAACAGCAATTGCAATACACTTCTATCTTTCTAATCAATCTTCAGGTTTCTTTTTTACCTTAAGGGCATGTTTCAGTCTGCAGTTAAAATACACTTCAACGTGAGTTCTCTGTAGATGACTGCATTTTTGCCAATCGGTAAAAATGGCTTTGCTGCCAATTAATTTCTTAGCTGTTGGCAAGCAAGCTTAGCAAGGCGGTACATTTTTGGTTCTACAGAACCAATTTTGTGACACCACGGCACTGAAGTGTAGGCTGCTGACTGCGAATGCGTCTGTGCCTGCGCATTAGCAGCGTATCGCCCACTCCAGTTAAGACTCAAGTTTGGCAAAATATTACAGCAAATAATGAAAACCTTTAACAGTGTCACTTAACATTCATTCAAACTTGAAAAAAAAAACAACAACTTGATGCTACTACAGATGCAGTAGTGTAATGCAAATGCTCTTTGACCACTGTTAAATGAAAAATACAGGGTGAGATTTATTGTTTCAGTCATGTTCACAAACAGTCAGACAGCAGTTCTTTTGTCAGTAAAAAAAAATATGGATAGCACATGGTCTTTAAAAAAAAAACCCAAATGAGAACTGTTTTGGGTTTGTTTTTTTTCCTCGTGAGCCATGGATGGAGCACTACCCATGGGTTTTTGTAAAAAAAGAGTAAATAATGGCAAGTTGTAACATGAGATTTCATAGTAAATTTGTTTTTCAAAAAATATGTTTCTATGTGTTTTTGCATCTGTCTTTGTTATTAAGGCATGTGATCTATCTTTTCTTTTTGAATAGAAGGTGCAATAAATAAGCAGAGAATGTACAGTATTTACAAAAAAACAGTCTAAACATGATCACACATGTAAACAGCAGCTTACCGGAGGTATATTTTGTAATTTATAGTTGGTTAGTCATGGAAGGCATTCTGATTCTTACTGAAGTTAGTTCATCATTAAAGATATGGTCTCTTAAAAAAAGACTGTCATTCATTAAAATCACAGTTACACGTCAGCTGGACAGAATGTCACTGGACACACACCTCAACATAGTTCTACCCACAGGGATGAAAAAGCAAAGGGCTAATTTCAGAAAGCTGGCACAGAAGCTGCTCTGTCGGCTGTTTTGGACTCCATAAACGTTTTTCCACAATCTGTCCTGAGTTGTCAGAGGTGGAATAGCAACATGTAAAGGCCAATTTGTGGTATGTCAGAGGGATAAGGCTGTATTCTTCACTTTGGCCAGAACATGCGTCGGACGATGAGCAGGGCTCAGCGTGAGTCCAGCAAATATTGACACGCGGCAGATATTTGGAGCGGTGCGCTACTAAAATAGCGTGTGGTCACTTTGGTTAAGACCATAGTATATTTTAGGAAGGCAAACATGGCTTGAGAAGAAAATACACTCAGAAAGGTTTGGGGATGTGAGAGGACTGAGGCCAACGCGTTCAGCATCAGATGATCTAATCGCTGAAGAGACCTGCGTCCACTCCTCGAGTCATGACCAGTACAGAAGCTTCCATCACTACTCATTGAAGAGAACAATATACTGTACATAGATCTGTGAAGGTAAAGACAGCAGCACTTGGACTGGTCCGACACTTGAGTTTTGTCCTCGCCTCATCACTCAGGCAGAAGATGCAGATTCTCCTGAAATCATTCACACACATACATATATACCCAGGAACACAAAATATACAGACAGACTGGAAATCCACTTTTACAAATATTCATTCGATCACTATAATTGAAAAAAATGCCCATCACCAGAGCTGGTGAAAAGCAATTGTCTTTTTTTTTTCATTTCCTTGTCACTTCAGCTTCAGAGCTGTCCATGGCTTCTGAACCAAAAGATGAGAACAATATTTCTGGGTTGACGCCCATAGGAAAATAAAATCCACAGTGAAGAAAAGGATATCTACTTGAGAAGATGCTGGTGCAGTTGTAGCCCTGTGCTCCTTTTAGGCTGGAGCGCTGTCGTGTCAGTGGCAGCCGCAGGCCCGCACTACCATGTTCTTGTATTTTTTCAGAATGACATTGGAGTTGTCGTCAAAGTAAAGCACCGAGATGGCGTGGAGTTTGGTGGGGGCGCAGCACGGCTTCGGTACGTTCTCAGGATTCATTAGGTGCACCTACATAAAAAATGAAAAGTAATTAAGATAAAATGCTTTAGTGGTGACTTTGTAATGTATTATTTAGTATTTTATATATCTTATATATAAGGATTCTCACCAGTGTCTGTACAATAGCGTGATTGGTGGCATTCATGTGGGCGTTGAGGGGAAAGGAACACTCTCCATCACAGTAGTTTGCAGCGTAGCCCTCAGGAGCAATGATCCAGTCCTTTAACAAAAGAAAATAAAAATTGTTACATCAGATGAATGAGGCAAAAAAAAAAATCTATTTTTAAAGTGATAATATGCCAGTGTGTCTATGTGTGCGATGGAAATCTCCCTCTAGATGTCAGTGCTCACTGTAACGGCTCTGTTCTTCCTCTGACAGTCTCCTCACCACACATACACAAATATACACACAAACTCCCGAGACTGAGTCTGCGGTTTCCTCCCTGAAATACAGTGACTCTCCTCCAGACAACATGAACTGACTCCCTCTCCTCTGCCCCTGCAGCCCTGCTTGTTAGCACTGGGTAAATAAGAAACACTGGTCAGTGTGCACTAGTCAAAATTTAAGGTGTACAGATGAAACAGCTGTCTTTATCAATGCACAAAAACTGCTTAGTACTGTCGGCACCTTTTTCTTCACAGCGTTGTCTTGTGTCTCCACTGTGGTGCAATTCTCTTAAAAATAATGCAGTTCAGTCATCTGACATGTGAAGATGGAGTGAGATCACCCAAAGCAGTTTTTTTTTTTTAATAGTGAAGAAAGTTGATTCAACAAGTTTCACCGTATGATAGTCCTACATCTTGAGTAGCAACTAATTAGGGCTGAATATTTCATATAGAAATCTGAACTCAAAGCTATGAGATTTTCTAGACTGACCTCAGTTCTAGTATTTAAAGTTTTCTCTGGATTGTTTAATACAATTTTAATCACTTTAAGGCACTGATTAAGTTACAATTATGTAACCAGTGTAGACATTGACCCATTCTTCATTTAGTCCTGATGCCACTGATTTACCACAAATAATAATAAGATCTGTGTTGGAATTTAAAAACACACAGATGTCTGTTACCTGCCAGCCCAGCTCTCGGAAGCTGACGTAGAGCTCATGTCTCCTGCAGGCTGTTTTCTGATCACTGCTGTTATAATCTGCAACAGAAGAACACATGAGGGTGAGTCATGACCTATATATAAATCTTCTATGCAGGTATACGTTTCTTCGTCCTCATTTGGCCTTGCATTTGGTTTGATTTTTGACATTAAAAAGGAAGGGTCTTTAGCCATAAACTGATGTCAAAGGCAGCAGAAAGTGAAATTTGGACATCCTTAACTGATTATGTGATGAAGAATAGGGAGAAGAGAAATTAAGAAAAAAAAACATTAAGTTGTATAGAAAGATACAGCATCACTTGCAGAATTCAAATGCAGCTCTGCCGGAGCAGGGAGTGGTGACGCAGTGACAAATGTGTTTATGCTTCCCTCCTGCTCTGCACTTTGCTTCATAATTATGTCTGTTCCACTCTGCAGCTGCCCAGCAGCCAGGCGGTCAGTCCCAGGTATAGCTTTGGTTTTTACAGTCAAGAAGGTCATTGCTGGCATCAGTCAACACTCTGTGAGACAGTGACGGCAACTTTCCACTGACACTTCAACTGTACTCTCCCTCTTTATGTGTCTGGACTTTACAGTTTCAATTCTTTCTTTTTTTTAAATTCTCAGAAAACATTTTAGAGACAGACAGACAGAGTGGGCAGCCCGAAAACATTTTAGAGACAGACAGACAGACAGAGTGGGCAGCCTACGTTCCAAACTCTCGATAGATTCAAATCTGGTTTTCTGACAAGTGTGTCTACCTTAACACACTGGGATACTCAGTGTGTTGGTGGCCACACAATGCCTTAAGTAATCCTGCAGCCTCCAGCCCACCAGTGTTTTTTTTTTTTTTTTGGTGGACACATATTCCAAGTTTAAAGTTAGTTGTAAAACATATAGTGGACGACTATTTTGGTTTTTTATCCTGACATGTAGAATATGGGTTTCTGATTCCTGGTTTAGCAAAAAAGAGTTACTGCAAGATTTATTTTTACAACAACTTTTCACACTGCGAGAAAAAAAAAAGAAAGAAATGCCTACAGCTTAGACTCCAAATACATCTGGCTGTCACATCCAAACCTGTCATCTGCTGCCTCTTTAAACTCGCCTGTTGGCTGAAGCCACTTGTGAAGCCACACAAACACCACTGTTTGCTTGTTGTAGGCAACAGAGGACGACGGTTTTATTTATAAGAAACGTTGTCTGTAGAATACATAAACAGACAAGCTCTGCATACAAATCAGGCTGTTTCTATTTAAAACCAGTGTGTGTGTGTGTGTGTGTGTGTGTGTCAGTCAGACTGCAGTAGACAAACAAACTGACCAACAACATCCCTGTTTAGACAGTGAGATTTTGATGGACACACCTGCTTATGACGTTTCATTTGACAAGACAAGTTTTTTTCTCAATTTGTGTTTTAGGGACATTTTAAGTCATTTTGGAGACCAATATTTGTAATATATTTTTTACAATTACCAATTTTGCATTGGCTGGTCAACTGACTGATCCCTGTCCTTCGATTTGTGTTAATTACCTTTACACTGTAGGAGAAATTGTTCTTCATCACCTGTTTCCTAATTCTACATTTTTGTTTCTTTTTGTGACAATTCTTCAGTACACTCAAGATCATGCCAAGATTAATTAGATCTCCTATTAAATGTCAATGTTCATTAAAAATAAAAAATATAATGCTTGTTACTGCCTCCTCAAAGGCGTTTGGTCTGACTGGTCACCACAGAGTCCAGTCTGGCCACGTGAAACAGTGGTGGCAAGGTCAAATATAATTGTCCTATTCAGTCAGGTGTTTCCCCCGTGTGTCAGTTTCCTTCCTCTCTGAAAGGAACGGCCCTTTCTGCACTAATGGAGAAACAGAGAGTTCATATGTGTGTCACACTGGGTGTGTTTGTGTCTGCATGTGTGATAACATGACACAGTTCATCTCTTCTCCCTCCCTGTCGACTGACCGACCCATGTCAAAGTGAACAGGCGTGCGTCACTATGAGGAAGCAGACTGATCTGGAATCAGCTGTTGAGGGTTTGTATGGATGTTTTCCCTCAGGTATTCAAATTAAAGAGGCACAATAAATGTCCTTCCTGCACAGCACGGAACTGTCTGTGTGTGGAAACTGTTTACACAGGGGGGAATAGGAAACATCAGTGAATGAGGGAAATGTACAATTGGAAGAACAAGGCTGAATGACCTCACATGAACTTGACACAGTGTTTATAGAAAAAAGGGGGAAAAAATACTCTGAACTTTTCCTTTTTTCTGCTGTCCACAAACATCTCTAAAAAATTTAAAGAAGACATTTTTTAATCTTTCATTTATAACAGCATTGGTAGCTAATTTGGCATTGATAAAAAAAAATCATTTTCCTCTTTTCTTGAACAGAATTAAACCTTCCATGCCATCAGCTTGTACAGCCTCTGGATTAGAAAGAAAACTGATATTTACAGCAGGTTTTCACTGGGTGTAGAGTCCTAAGCTGTAATTTGTGGTGCCCATTAACCACATTTCTGCTTCCTGTCTTTAACAATGTTATGCCACAGTAACTCCAGAACTACGAATCACTTGGGGAAACACCAAAGGTGTGTGACATGATGTAACAGGCTACAAATGTTTTCAAATTAATACTTATTTTACAGAAAACGATTGCACCCTCTACTGTAGAAATTGCATGAACTGTCACCGAGGTGGCGGCAGCGGCGGCGGTGGTGGTGGGTTTCATGTGCCAGGAGAGTCCATGAGGACATGAAAGGAGAACGTCACTGTTGTCTCTCTTCTCCCTTCCAGCGAAATATACTACTGAACCTTTATCTTTTCTTCCTGTCTTTCATCACGGTGGTTATTAAGCCCTGCGAGGTTGCACCACTACGTCTAATTAGTCCTACAGTAAACAAAGGGAGGTCGGGTGGGGAAGGAGGGAGAAGAATGAAGGGGGAGGAGGGAGGAGAGAGGCAGATGAAAAAACACAGCTGGCTCAGCGCTGTGTTATTATAATTCTTTAAGCGATATTGTTAGCGTGGTCAGTCTTTTAGCTGTGCAGCTAATGACTGGATAGGCCTAATTATAGGCCTTACGTGCAGCCTGTGCTGCACTGGGATGTGATACTCCCCCCACAGGCAAAAAAACCTGGCCCAACCCACAGTCCCTCCCTCGCCTTCTCTGCCCATAAAACCCCAAATTACCTGGTGTAAAGGTGTTGCATTGTTCTATTTGCTGTGCCTGAGTACACGGAAGAAGAAGAAGAAGAAAACAGTTTCTGCATGACTCCACGTTGAAGTCAAAATGCAAATGAACAAAGACAAATTTGCTCATTACTCAGGAAAACATGACGTGGGACAGATGGTGCTCCCTCTGCCTCGTCCTGAGTGAAACATGGAAAACAAAGACGATTTCTTGTAAATGTAATCACATCATTAACTCTAAAATAATCCTGTTGAAATGTGTTTGGCCGGATCACGCACATCTTGAACTCATTTATTATTACAGCAAAAATAAGCCAACTCATTACAACAGTGAATGCAAGGTCAAAAACCTCACGGGGGTCCGGGCAGGTCAGGTTTCCTAAACTACAGTGTGTTTTAGTATCAGTCTCAAATGTCATTGAGTGTTAAAATGGAGATAAAGTGGCAAAAAAACTGATAAAAAAAAGCACAGTGGTTAACCTCAAGGGTTGACCCTTGAGGTTAACCACTGTGCTTTTTGTGTAATTTAGGCCAGGAAGGAAAATTATTTTTAGAGAACACACAGCCAAGTGACAGATTTGAAATGGCTCCGTGAGGAGGCCTGGAAACTGGAGTAATTAAAAACAAACACGTTGCTTCCTCTCCTCCTCAGATCTGGGAGTTTTTTTCGCTCAACTATGAAGCATGGATTTTCAGGGAAATGCTCCTTTAAGTCAGAGCTCTGGTGGTCTACTGTGCCAGCCAGAAAACTGGGGTACACCTTTGTTCCCCCCCCCGAGCGACAATCAAGACGGATGCTCTCTTCGTCCCTCCTGTCCTCCTGTCCTCCTCCTCCTCCCGTCTCTGTAGTGAGTGATGCGGTATTGAAACCATATGCCCTCCTGGATTCCTTAAGGATCCTCCTATTCTGTTCTATCCCTGCAGTCCAGCACTGGCAGCAGACACCCTCCCACCCCCACCTCCCCGCGGCTTCCTGTGTGGGATCTAAATATTTACACTCCCTGTCTTCCCAAGTGGCGAGGTGGAGAGGTCTTAATGTTTTGGGTTATGTAAAGTCCAGTCCTTGCATTTTTAACAGATTGAAAGTAGAGGTCTTTTTTTAATTTTGAATGAAACATTCAAACTTTGCGACAAAGAGCAAAGAGATTATATTCAGAGATTATATTCAGGGAAAAAATGTGGCGAGGGACTGGAACCTTAAACAAGTTTGAAAAGGTTTTATTTTAATTTTATTTATTTATTTTGGATTTATATTAAAGTCAAAAACAAGATCACATGAATTGTAAAAATGCATGATAGAAATGAACTTCTTTTAACATAATAACATTAGTCTTAGGACGTCTCGATTCACCCTCAGGTAGTCTAATTTTGTAATTTTGTTCAAAAACAAATCATGGATGAGATGAATCTTTTAGTTTTAAAACTTAACCCAAAATATATAGAAAATGTTCAGACTCATTTACATCACTGGCCTTGCAGTCATTCTCTGACCTCAAACACACTGTAGACAGCATCTTATTTCGTGTTGGCAAAGAACACTGGGAAATTTTTGAATATTTCAGTTTCATTATGTAACATCTGTTGACTGCTGGATATATTAAATTTACTGCTCCCTGCAGTTGTGCTGCTCTGCTTCACAGCAGTGTCAAAGCCATGAGTGATGAAAGTTTAATATTAACATGATCTTTCCACTGTCAAATTAGCCAGGAATCAGGTTCAATATTAACAGTAGGCCCCGTGCAGCAACACACAAGGCCCTCGGAGGATCGTCCCTCTGCCTGTACAAGCCATTAAGTGTGGCTGCAGTTACACAGCAGGTGATGGGTTAAAGGATTAACGATTGCTTTAGGTTACACACAGTGCAGAGCTCATAACGACCAGCTTATACCTGTTCGTTACACCCCCTGCTACACAGAAAGAGAGGACGGAATCAGAGGGGAAGTATTTTATGTGTCACCTGGAACAATGATACTTTGTTTATTCTGAAAAAAAAAATTCCCTTCTTTGAGAATGACTTCATAAAAAAATGGAGGAAACGCCTACTGTTCCTGACTATTGAACTCTCAGGAAAGAGTTTCATTGAAATGCAGTTTGAGACTAACCTGCAAGGCCCAACGTTCTGGATCCCTCCTGTGGTTGCGTGGACCTGTTGCGATTCTGCTGGCGCCTTTTGCCTCCAGTGGAGCGGGTGGTGCGGACGTACACTTCACTGACTTTGAAGAATGCCACCATGAAAGGCTGTTTCTCCAGCGCGCCATCACGTCCCACGAGCCCCGCCTCCTTGGGTGTGATGCTCTGTCCTGTTTCGGTGGGAACAAAAATCGGAGATGAAACAGCGGGCGGTCAAAAAAATTGCCAATGGGACATAGACGTGGAGTAGAGGGATTTTTTTTTTCTTCAAACAGCTTGTTGACTTCTGCATTTTTAAATAAATTTTTTGGTAACGCAGAATTTTTTGGCCCACGTTTTTGGAAAAGATCTGGAGCAAACCAAGACCAAATTATTGGTTTCATTTGGAAAAACAACTCGATTCTCAGATTTTATTTCTGGGTACTTATTCATTTGATTTACTCATTATTGATTTATTACTATTAATATCCTGTAATCAGAGCTCTTTTCAATGAGTAAACCTGCTTTTTCTGTTTGGTTTCTCTCAGTGTTTATGTTTGTATTCGTTGAGCCTGTCTGTGACCTGGGACACAGATTCCTTTTCTGTGTCTTCTGAAGACGTTTTGTGGCTGCCATCACAAATGACATCATCAGCAGGGATGAGAGAGGACATTCCAGAAGCAGCCATGACACCACCTCCACCGCGCTTCACTGATGAGCCTGTATGTTTTGGATCGACAGCACATCCTCTCTGCGGTTAATCTCCGTCTCATTTTTATCCTGCTAGGACTTCTTGCGGCTCGGCTCTGTGCTCTCAAATGCAAATTCCAGTCTGGGCTTCTGAAGCCGACTTCTGATGACCGGTTGCTTTTTGTGGTACAGATTTTCTCAGATTAAAAAATAGGTCTGCCTTTCTTCTGCAAAGAGGCTCTGAGTCTCGGGTTCCTAATTTACCAGGGTTAAAATTGCAGTCAAAACATAAGTAGACATTTAAAAGTACTTCATTTCTCTTTGGTTTTAACAGTTATTCCATAAAGTCTCACCTTACAAGCCATAAAAAGTGTCAGTCACATGTTCAGCTTACTTTGGATATTTTGGTTTTTAACACAAATATCTAGATATAATTATAGAAAATATCAGCGGTTAATAAAAGTGAATACATATACATTTTATTCACAAATATTTGAAAAGTATGTAAAAAAATATACCAGAAAAAAAACACAACAAGGCGCTGGATTAAGGCTCTAGTCTCTGTGGGGGCGTGGGGTTTGAATCCCACCATGCCAGATACTCTTTTGAGTAAAATGTGCAGCTGGTCTGAGGAACTTTTCTTACCACTGCTGGTCTCCAGACTGATCTGCAGCCCCAGGTTGTGCTCTGGACTCATCACCCACAGGTTACTGGTGGCTGTGATGTCGAACTCCAGCCAGCCTTCTTCTGCTGCCCATAAGTGGCGAGATTCCAGCAGGAACAAGTCTGCCTCCCTTGTGGACGAAGAAATTAAAACACATTGAATGATATTTGATTTTTTTTAAAATTGCTACATTGCTGAGTAATACTTTTTGACAGCTCATTTAATAATCCCGATGAAAAATAAACAAGGGAACATTTAATCAGACACAAAGCCAAATGGGATAGGAGTTGCACTGGCGTCAAAGTTGAAAAAACTCAGACAAGAGGAAAAGCCCATTGTTGGCTAAGAAGACGTTAGAGTCCATTTCAACAGCTGAATGTGTCAGAGAGGACAACAAAGGAGCCTGTGTTTAATGAAGAAGGAGCAGAGGACACGTAAAGAGAAGACAGAGAGTGAATGATAAGAGAGCATGTCCTGCAGCTGTCCCATTACAGTAGTAATAACACAGAACCGTGTCTGTCAGACCCTCCTCCTGTGCTGACATCAAAGCCTCACAATCATCCAGGTGTTCAGAAAATGCCCCTGCAGTGATGCATCGGCAGCCCCACCTTAATTGGTCATTAATGACAGTGGTGGTACCGACACTTTTGTTCAGGACAGGGTTCCTCACACTTGGGGGCAATAATAAATAATAACATGTTCCATTTATATTGGTAAATATATTTTAATGTTTTCAATGTATGTAGATCCCTTTAGCCTAGTCAGTTGATCAATAGCCCATGTCAAAAAGGTGTGGACACCCCTGCTGTAGATCGCCCCCTGAAGGACGTTTTAACGTTTAAAATATATATATAGATATATATAGATATATCTATATATATAAAGAAACAAAAAGGTCAAAATGTTGATGCTATATATTTCTGTTAAAGGAGTTAAACTTGTATTCATACTTGTTTTTTTTATAAGATATTCAGCAATACAAATGCATGTTACCAGAACTGTTTGGACAAAACTAAAGTCCAACATCTGTGGTAAAAGGTCACACAGGTGTTCACCTCAGAGCTCAGCGCTCGATCCTCGTAAGCACAGAATAAAGGCAAGGAATTTCTGACTTGAATTGGTTCAGTAAAAATAGCAGCCTTTGTGGGAAAAAACACCCTGAAGTTTCAGGCGGACCGAATTATTCTGGCAACGCAATCTCACGCATTCCTTGTTTGTTGCGAGCAAAACCACTCCAATCAAACGAGAAGTACAGAAGGGTGTGAGGCTAATTAGTGCCGAGAGTCAAAGCAGGGTTTTTACAGGAAACAAAGGCCCGTGAAAGTTAGAAGGCTCCCTCCTGACTGGACAATTAGAGAAAATACCAAGGGGAGATAGAGAAAAAGAAAACAACAAAGACTTTACAACATTGTCTCATCTGAACCACCAAACCTCACACGGACTGTTATTTTCAGCACAGAGGAGCAGAGATAAGAATATGACGGCCAAAGCAATTCTTCCCCCACCTGACAGGGCAACGAGTGGGCTGTAATTTTCTTCGGAGTTAAAAACAAAACAAAAAAAAAACTCTCCTATAATAACACAGAAATTGGAGATATGCAGACTCTTTAATCTCCAAATATCTCTCAAAATAAAAGGGCTTCAACTCCAGGAAGCACAAACCACCCATCGCTGAGATGAAAGAATGCTGCAGAAAAACGCAGTTCCCGATACACTTAGAAAACATTTGGACAGACAACGGACAGGGATGTGTTTTGACAAAATCTTAAGCTGAGGTTCCCGGGGACATTAAAGTGGATCAGAAGCAGATGGAAAACATCTGGTGTTTTTCATCCCACCCAAAGGTGTTTCTTGACCTAGGATTATATTCTTAATCAGATATGATAACACTTTTTATAAATGTTTTTGTGTGATATACCGTATTTTATTAAAAAATCCCGGGCTGTATAAGCTGTCGAAATATATATCGCTTATTTTTTCACATGTGGTCGTAACGTTTCACTGCAGGGGCTTCATTTAAAAACAAATATCGTACAGAAAACCCAGCGGATGTTTTTACCCCTGCAGATGTTTGTGTCATGTGTTAGCTTTGTTCTGCTGTTTCTGTAAAACTAGGTCTGGCATTAGAAACACACCACGGGCTGCGAGACGCTAACACACAGGGAGAGTGACACATGGACAGAAACACCGAGGGTGAGGCCATGTTTTAACAAAAAAAATCACCCTCCTGACCTTTCTGTGCCCAAAAGTGAGTGGAGCGATCACACTTGCTGTTTTCATTCCCTCCCAGTTTTTTGTTGACCTGCTCATTCTGAGTAAAGTCGCGGTGCAAGGGCTGAGTAGGACAACAGCTCCCACCCCGGGGTGGATTAGTACACACGCTGTATGTGGTATGGCCCAGAGCCCATGAAGCTAACATGGCTCCATGATTTCATTTAAAAAGAGTTTCCACTGTATTTAAAATGACAATGAAATACTACAGTCAAAAAGCTCTAAGACAGTTGTTGAATCCAATGTTTACATGTTAAAGTTAAAGTGTCTCTCAGACTCTTTCTACAAGTTTTACTACTGTATTAGGTTTATTTGAATTTTTGGGAAATAAGAGAAGACATTCAATTTAAATCCGACATAAATAAAATCCTAAAAATATTAAATCTTTGTCAAAGGTTTGATTGGCGCGTCATTTCACAGCATGAAAGACCTTTTATTTAACTGCTTTGAATATTTTCATAAATATTTACTGACATCATATCACATAACGTCATACGTGTTAAATGGGATGCATTGTTTTTAATTTGATTGGTGCACAACAGGAACAGGAAATATAGGATGGCTGTCATTTCAAACCAAGAGTTAGTGGTTCACATGTCAGACTTAGTTAGTGGCTCCTGAACAAGAAATGAACGACAAAAAAAAGACAACATTTGTAGTGTAAAGCACTGTGAGATACCTGTCTGGGTGCTCCTTGACCACCTGGTATACTTTAAGTATGAAGGTGTCATTGCGGAATGTGCGACTCACACACTCCTTGTAGAGACGGAACTCGGCTGCAGTGACGGCCTCGCCCTCCGGGATCTGCGAGAGGTTGAACTTAAACTCCTTGTGGTGTCGGCGCTGTGGGGAGAACTCGCTGTCGTACTCCACTGTGGGATAGAAACACACACACACACACACAATCATGACATTATCCCAAGAGAGACGTTTTACTTTCTCTGCTGAAGGTTGTACTGTATTACTTTAGTATGTGACAAGGTATGACAGAGTTCCTCACCTAAAAATACACCAGTGATTGATGGGTGTACGTCTTCTTCACACTACACTGGGATTAGCCATGTGACCAGTCGTGTGCTATATACTCAACGTCTAATGGGTTTCCTGACTTCCTGTTTCCTTAAATAATCCTCTGTTGCTGCCAGTGTAAAGCAGAAGACAATTTTCTTTTAGTGGAAGGAAACTTAAAAAAAAACTTCACGTTCGCTTTGGACTAAGTCAAATGACTAGAATCATCAAAAGTGTTTTCCTTTAGGCTTGAAGGCGTTATAATCACCATAATGATAATGTGCTCACTGGGAAGTTTTTTTACTCGGAGGTTTTCTCCCACGGCAAAGACGGCCACGAAGAAAACGCACCAGAAAATATAAACTCTATGATAGCAACATAAATAAGAACTAATCTATTGTGATATTTACAAGTTATTCTACTGTAATTCTAAGTTGTTTTATGACTAGTGATGGACTAGTTAGAGCATTTATACAGTGCTCCGTGAAGCCACTTAGTTTGGTTCTCAAACATTTCACTCTTAGTTTGTTTTGAAGATTTAATTTACAGCCCAAACCTGAAGTAATGAGAATTTAGTCTTGTACCAGAGCCAGGCTTGTTAAAACGCTCTGGTAATTTTATGATGTGGGGACCAACCCAAAACGGACCAATGACACATTTTATTCCCTGAGTCATAGCCGAGAAGAAAATTGTGTTGATGTGGGAAACGCTGGAACCAATCAGCGTCTCCCAAAAGCGCCAGCACCACCTTGTTCCCACACCTACAGTTAAAGCTGCCCTCATCCCCAGACATTTCCAGCTCACTTACATAAATGCAGGACCTGTGGTGTGACAAAGAAGGAAAAGTCTAAAGGTGTGTTCTGCCACTCTGCCAAAACAACTTAAGATAATTGAAGGACTGCAGCCCTCGGCCAGTTCTGCCTCAGTTCTTCAAACACTTTCCACTGAGGCAAAGGAAACCACCTATGGAGAACGAGATGTTTTTCACATCAGCATCGCTGTGACTTCTATCATCTGCGACAGTGACTATTTCATCATCTCAGAGGCGCCCACACACACACACACACACACACTTACAGACGTTGCAGTCAGTGTGTGTGTGTGTGATGCTGGGTCTGGTTTGTGTTGCGGGGTAGATGGAGAAGCTAACCCTGACCATGGAGGCTCACAGCAGAGGTCATGCTACGCTAAATGACTTTACAACACTGCCTCCCAACACCCCCGAGCTCAGAGCAGCTTTGAATGATAAACTTCATGTGAGATGTTTTTGACCTTTTGGCTCCCAGACATTCAGGAGGAGTTCCACCTGTATCAAATATTTATTACAGTCACTGAAGTGAATGTTGATTATACGCCTGAAGGGAAAAGATTAGAATTGTGACTTGGGAACTGTTGATACTTCAGACTGGATTTCTACAACTGTATGTTTTGTTTTCCTATTCGTTTGCCAAGTGAAACGGCAGTATATTTTTCATTTATCTCTTTTGTCTAAGTGCACATGTGTATCTTCACAACACAACTGCATCAGTCACAGAACTTTAAACCATAGCACCAACAAAATAAATGTGTATGAGAAAAAAAAGGTTGTCGAAGAAAAGTAAGTTGAAATAGAATTAAAATGAAAATACCGAAACACTTGGATGAAATAAAGAAGTTGACATTTGAAAGTAGCTCAGAAAAAAAATTAAACAAAACCGCAAGTGGAAGAAATGACAGAAAAAATGAAACAAAAAACTGTGTTTTGAATTTAAATAAGTGGTGAGGTTAAATTGGATGGGAATAACAGATCATAAAAGTATATTTTCTTAATGTCAAAAATGTATATGAGGGAGAAACAGCTGGAGAACGTGGGGAAGATGACAAGACCAGATGAAGAGGGAGACCAAAGGAAAGAAAAGTGAAAAACATGTCTGGGATGCAATGAGAGGAGGAGAAATGGAGGCAGAGAGAGTGTGAGATCTGAGCTCTCACGGGCTTCGCTACTATTTCCACCTGCACAACATGTGGCTGCGCTGCTATGACAGCAACCCACATATGAGCTTTTACATCTGTCTGCATGCTATTTCATTTCATTATAACTTTAAATTTACACAAGTCATCAACTGTAATTTATTAGGCAAAAAATTATTTCAGAAAAATAGAAAAACAACAATAATTGTTATTACTGAAAATAAATTATTATTATTATTATTATAAATGTCATTTTATTATTAATTTTCCTAAAATTTTAATTTTGAATCATACATAGTTTAATTAATTTTTAAAACATTCAAAACAAAGGATTTTAAAAAGAATATAAATCCTTTGGAAGATGTTCAATAAAACAAGACATAAATAATGGAAAGGGAAAAATGAAATAAAATCAGGGTTGACAAACTGTTTATAAAGACGCCACCGCACTTAGAGAGAGACAAGTGTAGAAAAGAA